TAAATGTTTGAGTCGTCTCCACTTTGAGCTGCCTCCGCGTGAAGTTTGTACCCCATTTCCAGATCCCTGCTCTTGATGCACGTCTTTATAGCCGCAATCAAGCGCGACAAATCTCTGATCTCCTTGTTTCTATTCTGATGGATCTCATGGAAATCTCTGACCAAAGTTTTTTTGCTTTGGCTCGTCGAGTAGACCTTGAAGTAGAGATTCAGCTTTTCATTTACAAGTCTGTAGAAAAAACAAAGACATACCACCATATACAGGCACTTTTAGTCCGAGGGATAAAAATGTTGGTGGAATATCGTCCTCGAGTTCCTGTTTCAGCGAAACAACAGCACATTGGTTTCTGAAGAAATCGACTTTCTGAAGAATACCAACGAACGAGTCACTTTTCGAGGGTCTGCAACATTTGCCGGACTTCTTCCACAACCAGCTCGGCCTTTTGACCTCCAATGATCTCTGCTTTCTTTTCCTTGTTCTTCCACAGCTACGGATAAGGAAAAACAGGAAAAGTTAACAACCACACGACTTGAATGCAAGCAAAATGGATATGGACTGACCTGAATAGTTGGCATTCTCTGGAAAAGGAAAAAAGATGAACAAACCAAATCAAACACGCAATTGAGAGAACATACCGAAACACCAACGCGTTTAATCAATGCGTGTGGAACGGCATTGACGTCCACACAAAAGAATTTTGCTCTGCAAAGCAAAGACAGAAGAAAGGTCAGCGAAGGGAGGCAACAAAGAAGGAAAGGAAAGAATCATAGAAAGGAATTTACCCGTGCTGGAATTCCAAAGCCAGCTTCTCCAATTGAGGCTTCAAGTAGATGCATTTCCTACACCACGCTGCCATCCTGTTCCAAATCCATGTAAAATCAAATCAAAAGGAGAAAAGAAGAGACCATTCGATGAGAACGATTGAATCGTCCTCCTGCGCTCGCTGCAAAACCTCATCAAGTTCCGCTTCCCCGGAGATCACCGCCAGCTCCGCCCTGCCTTCCCTGCCCGGCGACGAAACCCTAAGCGCCACGCTCCTCTCTCCAGCCGCGCCGCTCGCATTCATCCTCACAACAGCTGCGGAAGAGCGAGAAATCGGCGGATTGGCGCCAGGCGCGCCGAGAACCCCCGCCACATTCGCGAAGCTCGTGGCCGCCATATCCAAGGTGTTTGAAAACTTTCTAGACACTAGTCACAATACACGTGGCCGAATCAAGCCGTTCCATCATCTAGCAGCCCGGTTTGATGTTACACGTGGCAGACTGATCACATAGTTACGTGGCAGACTGCTAGCCACGTAGAAAAACCTCCGCCGTCCGATGTCGCACGTGGCAAGCTTCTAGCCGTCGATCACTGGCTGAAATCCAGCCTCGGCTGGAAAGAGTAGACCACGCTGCTGCTCAGATCCACATCTCGAAGAGGTCTTCTCAGAGGATTCGACGACCACTTTGCTGCGTGAGGATCAAACGACCACAGCACCAATCGCTTGAATCCCCAGTCGCGGAGCTGGGGCGAGAACTTCTCGAGCGTGCAAGTGAGCAGCATGAGCTTGGCTTCGCGCAAGCACCAGTGAGCCGCGAAGAAGCCCTTTGGCGAGATCTCCTGGACCATGTAGTCTCTCATCCTGTTCACGGGCTTCCACTCCTGGCCGAGCTCGTCGTCCTCGTCCAGCCTCCACACTTTGAGGTGCCTGTAGTGGTGAGAGCCGCTGCTCCGGTGAGCTCCTACGAGCAGGACGGATCCGGAGCTGGGATCTCGAGTCAAGCTAGCCGCGCTGAGGCGCTCAAACAGCGTTGCTTCCAAGACAAACCAAGTGAGAGCTGCGAAATCGAAACCAACTATACCTCCGCTGGATCGGAGCGGCGACCACAGCAGCTGGGATCCTCGTCTCACCGGCACAATGCTGCGCTCGTCCGACTCCTGGAGAAGCTGAAGAGCCAGCGCCGGCGTGTCTCCCTGTACCTCTCGCCACTTTCCAGCTCGCGACTCGTACACAACGATGTACCCGCAGCGTCCAACCAGGACCTTGAAGCCTGAAGATCCACTGCCGCTGTTGCTAGTGACACTGGCGCTGACAGTAACACCCGGTGGCTCCTCGGAAACAATGCCCAGGACGCATGTAAGCGCCGAGGCACTCAGCACCAGCCTCGCCAGTGTCAAAGTCTTGAGCGGAGGGAGCTCCGGTAGCTTCTGCCATGACTTCTCAAACAATGGATTCCCCACGTAAAACTCGGGCCTCGCGGAATTCCCCACGCACAGGCACACCAGGCCGTCCCCGGCAGCCACGGAAGTCGCAAAGCGCGAGAGGCCACCGAGACGAATCCAGCTGCCTGTCTCCGCATCAACCATTGACCACTTCAAGCTGCCTTCTTGCTCGACTTGCTCGTCCTTCACCAGAAACCACGACTTCCGCCCAGACCACGTCGAGAGCGAGTCTTTCCAATCCTTGCATACCGCTCGGGCGACGAGAGCCGAAGAGAGCGGAAGAAGATGAAGAATCCTGTGTCGGAGCTCAGCTGGAAGCCTGGACCATTCCCAATGCCTGTGCTGCTCACTATCCCCCATCTTGCTCTAGAGAAGCACTGCTCTTCTTCCAGATCCCAGAAAGTCTATATGTCTACTCCTCTAGCGCGTCAAAAGGAACCCAACACGGCGACGGACGGAGAACCATTGGCACAAGTTATTCCGTCGGATACCACGTGAAATAGATCTGGCTTGAAATGGTCCCCTCCCCGGTCTCTTCACACCGGCCAGAGAAGAAGTCTCGCCCTCTAGAAATCCTTAAAAGCCAGGGAAGCTTTGTCGGGAGGATGTAAGGCAATTAGGACTGAAACTGAACGCCGCAAAGTACCTTTTGTTTGATACTCTTTAAACTCCCCGAGATTACTCTTCCTTGGAAGAGAGTCGTGTTTGTTATTCTTTGGAAGCTCTGTAGAAGCAGAACATGAAGACCACTGTTCGGCATAAAAGAGAATGCATCCTAACCTTGTCACGTAAGTGTCTTCCACTGTGTTGACAACTATCTGGTCTCCACTAACGATGAAGCAAGGGGCCTGCAAAGACGAGAGTTCACCATTGTAGAATGCGGAAGGAGAAAACTCAAAACTCACCATGATTATTTTGCCATTTTCTAGCGTGATGTGCTTGTACCTGTGGCCAGGAGTCAAAAGGATGCTTGAAAATAGCAACTTACGCTGCAGCTTGGGTCTGGCCTTTCATAAAAGGCTCAGCTTCGACCACTTTGCATGTCAGAGAAACTGGTACCGAAGCAGTCACTGGTTTACCCTCGTGCATTTGCACCGTCACAGACATTCCATCTAGAACAAAATCACACACAACTCATTTTTTCCTGAGATTTGGAATCGCAAAACGACACACCTGAAAGATATGAAGCTCCAGTTCCAAAGAGCTCTTTGTCCACTGTAACCTGGTCGAACGTTTTTGGACTGCAAACGCGTCAGCTACATCTTGGAAGAAACATGTGCGCACTTACTCCATCAAAATCGCCATTTGTCCCTCGTCGTACAGATATGTAAAGGTTTTCGAATCGACAGCCACTCCTGCGCACTAGGACGTTTAGTATCACAATGGAATTTTGGGGAAATCAACGTACTTTCCACCGATTCTGAGGTTCGCAAACGCTCAGTTGACTTGATCCCGCTGATCAGATCCTTGTACTCGATCTGCAAGCAAGCGAGAGAAAAAAGAATAAAGGAATAAAAAGGTCTCAGTTAATGAAATTGGTGGATCTAGAAAATCAAACCGGAATTGTAGCTCCACCACGGCCTCCATGAGCATGAGCGATCTTTATAACCTGAAAGAGCCGAAGAAAAAAAAGCTTATCACACAAAAAAAAACAAAGAAAGACATGAAATTAACCTGCACAAGGCGCCCTATGAGTGATCACTGCCTGTCAGAAAAAGAGAAAGAAAGAACAACGCACAGAAGAGCATTACCTTTGCGCTCCAAAATCTGCCCGACTCTCACCTACACAAAACCACACTCGATCAAAGCAAATCCAATGCCGCATTGCGCTCTTCTCACCTCCGATCCATCGATCTTCAATCCGCGGCGCTGCTGCCAATGCCACAACGACGAAGAATCCTCCTTAAAGACTCGAAATCCAGACAGCGCCTTGAATCCCTGCTGCGCAACGCGCCTCGAGCGCTGCATCCCCTAAAACCCTAAGCCCAGATAGAGAGAAGAATATACCCACGCATATCTCTGGGATTAAATTTCTCGTTAGCTTTGTCCACGCTTACGCGAGCTTGGTTTTTTGCCTTGTTCTTCTTCATTCTTTCTTCTTCGTCTTGGATACTTCTCCTCGCATTCGGCTCTCACAGCGCTAGCTTCCTCGCCAAGGCCTTTTTTCTCCAACCATTTGGCCAGAGTGGTGAAAGTTTTGAGCTCCACCGTGAGCCCCAGTTGCTTCATCTCCTGGAATGTGTCGATCGCATCGTTTGGTCTCTCGCATCTCAAGTAAGCCGTCATGAGCTCAGTGTAAACCAGCCCATCCGGCAGCATTTCTCCCTGGAGCTCCTGAAACAGTACCTCTACGTCGCGAAGTCGAGCGTTCATTCCCATCAAGCTCATCATGCTGGAGTAGAGCTGCGAGTCGGGCTTGTACCACATTTCCTTTCGTATGAGCTTGAAAACCTGTTTGCAAAGTTAGAACGAGAGAACACCGAGAACTTTGGTTACCTCGTAAGCTAGAACACAGTCGTTTTGCCTGTGTAGCTCCCGCAGAACTTCGAGCATGTCAGTCTTGAGAAGCCGGGACACCTGAGACTTGAGCACTTGTTCCATCTCCTCCCGGACACCTTTGGCTCTCTTCAAGCTCTGTACAGTGAGAATTGCCTCTCTTCCCAGCTTCCGGCCCCTCATTATCGGTAGTCTGGGAAGACTCCTGGTAGAACACAGCACACGCAGTCCGGATTTTCCCTCGGCAACGTTGAAACCCGCGACCCATCTGTGTGCCGCATTAAGTTCCATGAACTCTTTCTTCACTGTCTGTCCAAACCCTCGAAGCCGATCGAAAAGGATCCTACTTTAGTTTGCCTCGGAGAAGTATTTACAAAGCCTGGAGAGCTTGAACGAGCTTGTAAAGATCTCCATCTGTCACTGAACCTGGAGCGCTCTTACAAACGTACCCGAATAGCCAGCTTACCTTCGAGTATGAGATTGAGCGTGCAAACGACGTAAAGAGCGAGAACCAGGAGCTGCAAGAGCTTAAGTTAAAACAAAACCATCTAAGCTCGAAAGTTTCACTCACAAAAAGGAAGTGAAGAACGTGGAGACACCGAACCTCTGTGTCGGGGAATTTCAGCTGGAAGATCACCCAGTGTAGCCAGCGCTAAGAAAGAACTCCAGAGCATAAGCGAGAACTTTGAAAAGTAGGAAAACTTACTCGCAAAATGGTGATCACTCGGCTATCGAAGTTAAGATTGTAAGTCGCGATGTCAGTCAGCAGTGGCATGAAATTCGTAGCCTCTTCAGTCGTAGAAAATTCGCTAGGCCACAAGTGAGTGATTGGTTGTCGACAAATGGGACATTTACAAGGGAGTAACGCTGATCCATACTCCCACACTCTGAGAATACATTCTCCTGAAAGGAAAGAAGAAAGAAACGAAGATAAGTTCTCAAACAAAGAGGAAAAAACGAAGATAAGTTCTCAACCAAGCCTGGAAGAACTTAAGACGTACCACAGAACCAGTGTGTGCAATTCGCTTGACAAGGAAGAGTGAATTGCTCCTGGCAAACCGAGCAGCAATCCAAGTCCGTGAGAGTTTTGGATGATCGAGTCGTCAGTTCTTGCTTGGCGCTGCGGTCACGGAAGAAATTCAAGCTCTTATCGTACCACCTGCATGGAAAGCTTAGGCCCCGAATGATTCAGAAAGAAGATTTCTGTAGAGAAAAAGAAGGAAGCGGTCATCGATTCTTCACCGAATTTTACCAGATGTAAGAAGAGCGTCGACGATCGCTGCTCATTCTCTTCGATTCCTCGTCGATCGAAGAGGAAGCTCAAACGACGCGCATTTCTTGATCTTTTAGAGCCGGGACAACGAAAGTAGCTGCAGGAAACGAGGATCATGTAAAGAAGAGCGATCGAGCACAAGAAAGAGGAGAGGACACACCAAGGCGATTCGTCCGTGAGAGCGCTTCAATCAATCCCATCGCTGATCGAGCAAACCTAGGCAGTGTAATGAGCCGCCAGATGGACGGTCCAGATCGTTCCGGAATTTCCCGCTAGGGTTCTAGCGGGATGGAGGGCGTGGGCTTGCAGCGGGCGAGGGAGGCCCTGGATCTCGCGCACCACATCGCAAATCTTCTCAACACAGGTCTGGATCGCAAGACGCTCTCGATTTGCATCGCGCTCTGCGAGCACGGCGTGAATCCGGAAGCGCTCGCGGCTGTTGTGAAGGAGCTCCGCCGCGAATCGGCCGCTGTCCAAGGCGGCGCTACTGCCACTGCCACTGCTGCTCTTGCGAATGGCCCGGCCTCGCGAGCTTGAAAGAAATGTGGAGGATTTCCTGGATCTTAGGAGAAATTCTTGAAGGGAAGAAGAAAGCGGTCTTGTTTTTGAGAAGATTTTGGGGCAGCTATGGCGTCCGCGCTCGCGAGAATCTCCCAGCTCCCGCAATTGCCAGGATTTCCTTCCTCGCGAGGGATGAAGAAATCTCTCCTCCACGCGAATGCCCTAGCTCGATCGCCTCGAATTAGGTCAGCGGCAGCGGGCATGGAGGTTGAGGTGAAGCTCACGCTCCCGGACGATCGATCGCACGCCCGGCTCGCGGAGATCCTCTTGCCCTACTTCAAGATCAAGCACGAGCAGGAGAATCTCTTCTTCGACGGTGCCAATGCCGAGCTCTCGGCGCGGCGCGCGGTTCTTCGCCTGCGCTTCTACAACGGCGATGCGCGCTGCGTGGTGTCGCTCAAGGCGCGCGCGATCCTGGAGAATGGTGTGAGCCGGGTGGAGGAGAGCGAGGAGGATCTGGACGCCGCCACCGGCAGGGAATGCGTGGGCGATCCATCCAAGCTCCCGGCGGTGACCAGCGCGATCGTCCAGAGAGTGGTGCGCGAATTCGGGGTCACGGAATTCGTGTGCCTGGGGGGATTCAAGAACACGCGCCAGGTTTTCGAGTGGGAGGGCGAGAAGCTGGAGCTGGACGAGACGCGCTACGCGTTTGGGACAGCGTACGAGGTGGAGTGTGAGACGCCGGATCCGGAGAGAGTGAGGGCGATGCTCGAGGAGTTCTTGGGCGTCCATGGGATTCCTTTCTCACACTCGGTGGCGTCCAAGTTTGCGGTGTTTCGATCTGGAAGGCTGCCCAGCGATGAGATGATGGAATGAGAGAGAAGAACTGTTTTATTAAATAAAATTTAGGGTTCTTCAATGTTTAGGGTTCTTGATTCGAAATCCTTGTCGGCGGCATTCTCCCGCCCAGTTCCAGAGCTCCAGCGGTGATTCCAGCTCCAAGCGCAAGATTGCTATGGGTGCCCTTGGCAGGAGGAGGACCGTAGAAATTCGGCTGCGGTTGCTGGTAATTTCCATAGCCTAGCGGGCTGCTGCTGGAAATTTTCGCCATAGCCAAGGATCGCTTACGCTTTATGGCGCTTGGCGGAGAGCGTGGATTGTGGGTGCTATGTATTGCGTTTCGTTTGCTGAATGCCCTGCTCGTTCGCACGTACTTCAACCCGGACGAGCACTGGCAAGCACTCGAAGTTGCGCACCGCATTGTCTTCGGGTAAGCTCAAAAACAAATCTCTCGGTCATACATTCTTGTTTTCTTTGTGATCTAGCTATGGACATCTCACTTGGGAATGGAACAAAGGTCTTCGCAGCTACCTCCACCCGCTCATGTTCGCTGCGCTCTACAAGATGTTGGCAGTGCTTAAGCTGGATACTCCATGGTTCATGGTAAGCTTTCGATAAAACTTGAGCTTTCGTTTCCGAGAGAGTTCTAATTCCTTCTAGCTTTGTCATGTATGACTCTGTTAGGCGAGGTCGCCAAGGCTTTTTCAGTCTCTCATTGCCGCAGCCGGTGATGTTTACCTGTGGAAGCTCTCTCGTCGAGCATTCGGTGACCGTGTGGCAAAGTGGACCGTAAGTTCCATCAGAAAAAAAAATGAGAGAAAAGCTCGCGATTCTCACGAACTTTGTTATGCAGATGTTTTGCCAGCTCGTGAACTGGTTCACCTTCTTTTGCATGGTTCGCACTCTATCCAGCAGCATCGAGACTGTCCTCACGACGATTGCTCTCTTCTACTGGTCATCTCCAACCATCGACAAGCACTTAGGATTTATGTCGAATCGTCAGCTTGCTCTATGCGTTGCATGGATCTCGTGTGCCATCCGGCCTACTAGCGCTGTCATCTGGCTATACGTGGGGATTTATCACCTCTATGAATGCCGTGACAAATTCAGATATCTCCTCCATGAAGTTCTTCCTATCGGGTAAGCAAACCGCTCCATGCTTCAAAGCCTCACATTCGTTTCCAACTTCCAGGTGTGTCATTCTTGGAGCGACTTTCTCTTTGGACAGGATCATGTACGGGAAGTGGATATTTGTGCCGCTGAGATTCTTCCAGTTTAATTTCCTCTCGGGTGGTGGTGACTTCTACGGCAGCCATCCCTGGCACTGGTATTTCACTCAGGGGTTTCCAGCTATGGCGTTCACACACTTGCCGCTAGCTGTGCTTGGGATTTGGTGGTCGCGGGAGTGGTTTCTTGCGGGTCTTGTAGCCTGGATATTGTTCACGTACAGTCTGCTCGGGCACAAAGAATTCAGGTACTCGTTCGTGCATGTATGAAGAACAACTTTTCTAGTCATGGTGTTTTCGCAGGTTTGTCTTGCCAGCTCTTCCTTTGGCGATGCTGTTTGCTGGATACAGCCTTGCCTCCATTGAGGCCGGAAGCAAGAAAATCGTCAAAGAAAAATCCGGTGGACGATGGCCGCTTAAGCTTACAATCATTCTCATCGGGCTGCTTGTCTCTAACGCTCCAACTGCGCTTTACACTTCGCTCGTCCATCAGGTGATTGCAAGCTGGTTGTTTTGTAGACAATGTCTTTTTTTGTTTACTTTTGTCCAAACAGCGCGGCTCAGAAGCAGTGATGGAGTATCTTGGCAAAGAAGCGACAGACCAAAGGGTGGAAAGCATTGCGTTTCTGACGCAATGCCATGCGACTCCATTCTACTCGTCGCTGCACAAGGATTTGCCAATGAGATTCTTAGATTGCTCTCCCAGCAGCGATGGCGGCAAAGACGAGGCCTCACGGTTCATGGAAGATCCACTCGCAGCACTCTCCGTCATGTTTGGCGACGGGAACGTGCCCAGCCACATCGTCTTTTTCGACTCTTTGGAGGACAAACTCCGGCCATTTCTGGAAGCACGCTCTTACAAGCTGGCAAGTCCTCTCTCCTTTGTTTTCTTTCACTGTTTATCGATGGATTCATCTTTCTTTGTTCACAGGTGAAGAAGGTGTTCCATGCTCATTTCCCTGTTGATCGAGAGCTCCAAGCGTATCTTTGCGTGTTTTCGACAACTAAACGGCCGCTATCAACAGCGAGCGAGTCCATCCACAGTCGCTGAGGAGGAAAAGACTTCACAGAACGGTCATAGGGACACTCTCATGGCTAGAGTCCAAAAAACAGAGCGGACTAGCTTTGCTACAAAAGCAGCTCGAGGCTAGAGGTGGCAGCCACACAAGGTCCAGGATCGAGAGTCGCGTGAACGAGCTGCACGTATATGCTACAGAAGCCATGCAGCATCTGGCGGTGGAGACAACCTTGGCGAGACAAGCGCGAGAGAGTGCATTGAGAATTTCGAACACCCGTGATTCTGATCGGTCTAGCGGAATGGTGAAAGAGCCTGGGGCGTCCACTTTGCTGGCATACGAAGCTGGTTGACAACGAGCTGCTCATTCTCTTTGACGAGTGCGGTGAAGGCATTTCAAGCTTTTTGGAGCCTTTCGATCGTCAGCATCTGCGCTGAAACTCGGGGTCCAAGACGCACTTTCAAAGGCCGGCAACAGTCTGTTTATCACTCCCGTGACGAAAGCTAACCAGCGAGCTGCGGTTGCTGCTGTCACGGCTCTCATCTCATGTGTGATCCTCCCGACATCTTCGTCATCTTCTTTCCACTCAAAGCTTCCCATAAATTCTTGCTTCACCTTGATGAAGTGTCGTGATTCATGAGAAAGCTGCGGGTGAGTACGAAGAACGAAGTACGAACGACAAGTACCAGCGCATCTTGGTGAACAGGTGATTGAAATTTCATCCTTGAGCTTGCAAGGTGTGGCTCGGTGCAAGACAGCTCAAGAAAAACTGGTGGAAGGTGCTTCTCTCGAAGATGGCCTGCTGGATGAAGCTGGTTAGCTGGTGCGACCGGCGCTACTACAGAGTTCACGGTCAGGCCCTGCAAATCTCGCCTTCGTGTTGGAGCTAACCAGGAGCGACAGATCTCACTGCAAGGTGATGGGCCTCCTCTTGGGGTGATGAGAGCTCTGTTTGGAAAATTTGGGGTCGACTTAGCGGGGCTGGAAAAATCAATGGGAGCTGCTGTGAGCATGAACCACTGGTGGCATTCCTTGTTCGTGCGTGGAGTGTGTGGAGAAAGGAAGGCAAGAAGTTCTGTAGATCGAACGAAGCAATCCAGTGGCAGTAAAAACAGCAAAGGATTGTCCAGTTTGCTTATGCTCGATCATCAACGAGTACAAGCTCGAGGCTTGTGGCCTTTTGCTGCGATTGTGTTGCCAACCAGCTTTGATCGAGTATCAGGAACAGTGATGATTCCAAATCACTTGCACTGCCGAAGGCTACCAGGAGGTGTTCCTTATTGCCGACTTTGCAGCCTTGCTCCACAGCAGATGGACGAGCTGTGCAAATCTTCTGTGAGAGTTTTCGTAGCCTCGAGCAGGTGAGCTACAGGTTTTGCCACTAATCAGCCTCAGCAGTGTGCCATCGCCCAGTTCTTCTGCAAGGCCCAAGCCATCGGCGGCATCAGTGTGTACAAGAGCTCGTTTTCTTCGATCTTTGTCTGTGGGGCTTGTGACACTCGGCTGTGCACGTAGTGTCATGTTGGGTTTCATGACAGCTTAGAATGCAAGGCTTACAGGAGATACAGATAGAATCCAGATGCTTCTCTGGACGAGTGGAGCATCAAAAACTGTGGCTCTTATGGCTATGCGGGTTTGCTCAAGACATTAGAATTAACTAGGATCTAAAACATGTAATATAATTAATAATAAAAGTAATTAAAGTCATCTTACCACGTATTTAATTTATAAATATATAAATCTAATTGATTGTAAATTATGAAAAACTAAATCTATCTGGAATTAATGAATGTGTTGTGATAATTATTATAACTACAATAAAATGTTAGTTATATTCATTTTTTATGTTTGTGTTTTATTTTTCTTTATAAATTTTATCCATATTGTAAGCCATAAGTTGCAGTGCCTCTCTCAACTCAAGCTAAGGTAATCGACCCTCTCTAAGTAACGGTAATAAGTTCTCTAAAATTTTTAATATCATGGATTAATTAATGTGACTGAAATTTTTATAATTGTTGTTAAAATAAAAAAATTTATTTATTATTATATTATTAAAATTCTTAGTGCTACCTGCCATCATAAATGATATATATGAGGATTAATTGGGATGTTGGTTGTCATGAGATAATAAAATACACATTATTGAAAACTCATATCTAAAATTAGTATTTATAAAATTTTCTTTAAACAAATTTAAATATTAAATTTTATTATAAAGATATAATTAAATAAAATTATTGTGGAATCTTGAAGTATTAAATTTAAACATTCAATTGTTATATTTTATTTATATATTTAATGATTTATTGACTAGAGCTAAATAAATGATAAATACTTTAATTAAATATATATATTTAAATTATAAACTACTAATACATTAACTATATAATTTTAATATTTTCTAAAATTTAAAAAGAGCACGTTAGTTATAATTACTTTTTAATCTCTAAAAAACTTTCAACACTCATGACAACACTTTTTTTATTTTTCCTTATTGTTAATATAATTTTAATCCCTAAATAAAAAACTTTATAGGTTTATATAACAATAACTTAAAGGATAAATTATTATTAGCAGATGTAATATTTATGTAAAATTTCCATTATTTTTTAACTTAATTTATATATTAAATACTAGAAATTCATATTTTTCATTTATACTTTATTAATTTTTTATTTATATGGCTTGTATTTTTGGGGAAGAACTTAGGGTTTAGAGGTTTTTTTTAAAATAAATTAGGTTGATCTTGAATTGTTTTGACGAAAGCAAAGAAAGAGTAATAATCTGTGTACACGAGCTTAGATCTACTAAATTCAATAGCAGCAGTGTAGCACAAAGAAAACAAAAAAATCAAAGTGAACAGATGAGAGCTAGGTCGTGAAATATTTCTTTGAAATCCATTTGCGATGAGATGATGGAATGAGAGAATGAGAACTTTATTGAATAGAAGTTAGGCCTAGGCCTAAGGGTTCTTCATTCGAAATCGTCGTCGTCGTCGGCATTCTCCGCGATGTCTTCCACGACCTCACCGAGAACGAGCCCTCCCAGTGCTCCAGCGGCGATTCCAGCTCCAAGCGCAAGATTGCTATGGCCGCTCTTGGCAGCAGGAGGAGGAGGAGGAGGAGCGTAGTAATTCGGCTGCGTTTGTCCATATCCTGGCCCCAAATTTCCATAGCCTAGAGGAGGCTGCTGCTGGAAATTTCCGCCATAGCCATAGCTCTGCGGCTGGTGGTAGTCTCGATCGTAGCTGCTGGGAGCGCCGTAAGAGGGATAGCCTGGAGGAGGATAGCTTGAGGGATAGACTGGATCTTGCGGTGGAGGAGGAGGATAGCTTGGGGGATAGACTGGATCTTGCGGTGGAGGAGGAGGAGGAGGAGGAGGAAATTTTCCAGAATTTCTTGGGGAGCTTGGCTCGGAAGAGCAGCTACTGCTGCTACTGCTGCTGCTGCTGCAGTGTGGCGAGACTTCCCTCAGGCGGATCGAGAGGTTGAGGACGCCTTTCATTCTTCCCGAGGGGCGCCGGATCTCAAACGCCATGTACTGGATCTCCGACGGGGTCTCGCGGTTGAATCGCGCCTCGTGTGGGAGCTCCTTGAACGGGACCTCGACGGTGCCGATGGGCTTGTCGTGGATGTGGCCGCGGTGGAAGATCTCGATGGTGAATTTGCCCGAGCCTTGCTCCAGCGAGTAGGTGTCGGCGCTGATGACGAGCTTCTGGTTCCAGACGGGGTTCTTGGCGCCCTCTTGGTCGACGTGGGTGTAGAACTTCTTGGAGGGATGGATCCATACCACTGCGTAGGTGTGAGGCTTACCGAAGCTCGGCGAGAGCTTGAGGCCCTCGGCGGAGATGATGTTGATCTCCACTCTCCTCTTTCCCATGGATCGATCGATCGAGCAAAACCTGTAGAACAAGGAACAAGTCCACAAGAACACGCTCAAAAGTAAGCCTCTCTTTTTTTCTTCTCTCTCTTGTGGAATTTTAAACCCTACCTTTATATGTCTCTCTCAGGTGCTACTTTCCTGGATTGGCCCCAAATAAAAGATTTTCCTACACGAGTTTTAGCGCGTTACGGCTATTGCCCGCTACGTGATGCTCTTTTTCTTCTTCCTCAAGCTCTAGACTTTTCCAGCAACTACTTGGATACACTCTCAGCTAAAAATTTGATTTTCCAGACAAACAGCGAGCTTGACAAGAATCGCCACCGATAATCCTTTCCATTTGGTCCGACCACCATCGCCGTCTCGGTTTCTTTCGAGCTCTTCTCATGGCCTCCAGCACTCGAGCCTGTTCTTCCCACATCCCTCGAGCTCCATAGATGCTGGACATGAGCGTGTACACGGCTCCTTCGCCGACTTCCAGCTCCACCAGCGCGTCAAACGCAATCCTTCCCACCGCGACGTTCTTCCACTTGTGACAGGCTCCCAGGATGGTGATCCAAGTCACCGGGTTTGGCTTGAAAGGCATCCTTCTCGCCATCTCCACGGCACTCTCGAGCTCGTTGGCGCGACCAAGCATGTCCAGCATGCAGTGGTAGTGCTCGATACCAGGAACAAGACCATATCTGGGCTCCATCGCCTGGAAGTAGCTCTTCCCCGTCTCGACAAGCCCACCATGGCTACAGGCAGTGAGAAGACACAGGAAAGTCACAGCGTTTGGCCGAAGTCCCTCGTCTTGCATCCTGTGAAAGAACTCGAAGACCCGGCTTGTGTCACCTTGTCTGCCATAGCCCGCTACGAGCGCTGTCCAAGTCACCGAGTCTTTCGAGGCTACAGCATCGAAAACTCGACGAGCAGAATCCAAGCTTCCACACTTGGCGTAAACGTCGACCAGGCCGGTGTCCAGAGCCAGAGAATTCTCCAGTCCGGCTCGAGTGATGTCTTCATGGATGGCTCTTGCGAGGTCCAGCGACACCACAGTCCCGCAAGCTTTCAGCGCCGCGAGATATGCCCGCACGTCGCAGCCTCGAGCTCGCACCAAGGCGAAGAGTTCCAGCGCTTGGTCAGCATCGCCATTCTCCGCGTACCCGAGCATCAAACTCGTCCAGGAAACAAGGCTGTGCAGCGGCATCCGGTTGAAAATCCCGCGAGCGTCCTCCAAGCTTCCGCACTTCGCGTACATGTCAACCAGCGCGTTTGCGACGAGAATCTCCGACTCGTGGCCCAGCTTTCGTGCTCGAGAGTGGATCTCCATCCCCTTCGCCAGAGCTTCGACTTTCACCATCTTATCATCGACAAGTTCTCCATCCTCACTGGCAGCAACGCAGCTACAGGCCTTGAGGGCGATCACGAAGCTGAGAGTTTGAGCAGGGCAGCTCGAGCAGGGAAACAGATCCAAAGCCAGTCCACCTTGAGAGTTCTCGACAAGGCCCAGTATCAAAGAATTCCAGGAGACAACGTCGTGGTGCGTCATACTGTCAAAGACTTTACGAGCGTCCAGCGAGCCTCCACACTTGGCGTACATGTTGATCAAGCTGTTCGCCACGAAGACGCTGTGGAGATCATAGCCGAGCTTCCGAGCTTCGCAGTGAATCGCCATTCCCTGCTCCAGCGACTTAAGTCTCAGAACTCTTCCATCGACAAGTCTGCCATCTTCTTTCGCCGCCAGAGCAGTGCAAGCATTGAGAGCAGCCACGAAGGTTGTAGCGTCCGGATCACAGTCTCGTTGGGCTAGCAACGCTGCGAACAGATCCAGCCCCATCTCTGGCTCTCCACTTTCAACGTAGCCGAGCATCAAACTCGTCCAGGAGACTATATCTCGCTGCTTCATGCCGTCGAACACCCTGCGAGCGTCCACCATGCTGCCACACTTCGCGTAGAAGCTGATCAGGCTGTTTAGCACGAAGATGCTGCCGAGACAACCGAGTTTTCCTGCGAGAACATGGATCTCCACTCCTTTTCCGAGACTGTCCGACTTCACGGGCCTTCCATCGACCAGTTTGGCCTCCTCTTTCGCTGCTAGATCGATGCAAGCCTTGAGAACAGCGACAAAGCTACGGGAACTCGGCCTGTAGCTACGCTGCCGCAAGCTTTCGAAGAGCTCCAAGGCAACTTCACCCTGTCCGTTCTCCGCGTAGCCTTGAATCAGTGCGTTTTGCGACGCTACATCGGGCAGTGGAAGCTTGTCGAAGACGTGACGAGCGTCGGCCATGCTGCCACACTTTGCGAACATCCTGACAAGAGAGTTTGCGACGAACGCTTCGAGATGGTCACCGGTTTCTACAGCCTCGGCGTGAACTTTTCTTGCTCTTTCCAAGTTTCTGCAAGCTCGTATCCTGGTAAGTAAAGCCGCTGCGTTGGATCTTATCCTGCTTTGTTGCGTACTCATCCAGAGTGCTTCATTTCACAGCTAGCGAGCTTGGCTTCCCAAAAAGAAGACTGTATTTCATGGTGAGATTCACAAGAGTTTGAAGCAAGAAAAAAAAAATCTTAGCTTACAGTTGCTGTTGATCGATCGAGAGCTCCTAAAAGGCAAACGTCCAGTGAGCAAACAGAAGACCAGAGACCTCTCACACAAACCTGGCAAAACTCTTTCACGACCACTCGACGATCTTGGTCCGGAGGCCAATCTTATGCCCGGCTTGAATGAGCGCTTCCTTCGCAGCAACCGGAGCTAAGCCATCCACCTCAAACAGGATCTTCCCAGCTTTGCAGCGAGCGACGTATCCCGAGACGTTGCCTTTGCCTTTCCCCATCCGAGTCGCCAGGGGCTTGCTCGTCACCGGATAGTTCGCAATGACACGGATCCACATCCGGCCGCTGCCCTTGATCCTCCGCGAGATGACCCGCCGCGCAGCCTCGATCGTCTGGTACGTTATCTTCCCCGAGTGTAGCACCTTGATCCCGAAAGTCCCGAACGCGAGCTTGCTGCCATCGCCCAGGATCCCCTCACACCGCCCCTTGTGCATCTTGCGGAACTTGGTCTTGGGGGGATAGGGCGCCGCGCCGGCGCAGCGCACGGTGCCCCATCGAAAGCCACATCGCCCCCCTGGAGCAGCGAAATTCTTGAGAAAATGTGGGTAGATTCGCTCGCTCTTGAGCTAATCGCTACTCGACCACTCACCTGTGAGCGTCGATGGAGCTACCCGGCAATGCGGCAGCTGCAAGCGCGAGGGAGTGAGGGGCACCGCAAGAAGCCGCTGGAACAGAGTGTTCATTATCTCTTACATAAACCCTAAATCCCCCCTCTCAAGAACCCTAAAGGCATCTATGGCACTGGTTTGGAGAATATACTACTTACAGCCCTAAAGGTATTTTAAGAGCCCTAAAAAAGGCTTCTTATGATTCGAAGAATATACATTTTAGCAGTACAGTTAGGGTACTTGACGGCGTCAGTCAGTGTCGACGTTAACTGTGCTGGTTGCATATGTAACGCCTGCATGGGATTTTTCTCACAGGCCAGAGAGTTTGTATTTTTGTGTCGTGTGTGAGAGTTTTCGTGTGTAAGCTCTCTTCCTAGCTGGAGTATATAGTGTGAATGGATAGATAGATAGAAAAGGAGGGAGGAAGGCGACGCTACAGTAGGTCTTTTAAATGCGCCCCCTGTGCCTGGAGCGCGTAAGAACTAGCAGCGGTGGCGCAGCGATGGATGGACGGCCGCCGCCGCGCACAGGCGCTCGATAAGGCCCGGGCAGCGCCGCGCCGAATCTTGTAATGCGGATCGATTGAGCCGGCGATCGACCCTGGTGAGCGCTCCTGTCGGTGAATCGAGCGCGCAAGGGGCCGATCTTGTGGATATTTCGAGCCCTGGTGAGTGATTCTTTGGGGGAATCGAATGCGCGCTTGATCTTGGCGGATGTTTCGCGCAGCAATGTAGGCGCTCGGCGCCGTGATGTATGCGAAGACTATGGCGGGCGAGCATGCGGTGTCACAGCGGCTGATAGAATGCGCTCTGGCGGGCGATGTTCTCGGAGTCTCCGAGGCGCTGTCGGATCAGATCGTGGATGTCAACTACAAGGGGCCCGTGAGTCTGCGTGTCAAGCACACGGATTCTATCCAGCACGAGGAGGCTCCCGACGAAGTAAAGATCGACCACGAGATTTTTAAAACCGATGTCACTGCTTTGTTTGCAGCTGCGCACGCAGGTCACATCTACATTGCGAAGATGCTACTGGTAAGATATCGATGCCGGAGTTTTTTTTTTCTCTCTCGCTGACATTAAACATTCTTCTATTCGCAGCTTGCGGGAGCTGACCCGAATGAAAAGCTTTTCAGAGGCTATGCGTCCACGGCAGCAGCAAGAGAGGGCCATCACGAGATCGTGAATTGTTTGCAAAGGTCTGGTGCCGGCCAACTCGCCTTGGAGGACGCCCTGCTCGAAGCTTGCCTGTATCAGCAAGTGAAGTCCGTGCACATTCTTATTTCGTCGGAGATGATAAGGCCCGAAGTGCTCGTGCAAGCTCTTGCTTACGCAAGTAACCGGGGTTTTCTGGACGTCGTTGAAGCTCTCATCCAGGTATGCTGTCAACAAAGAGTTGTTTTTTTGAAAAACTGATGGGCGAAAGTGTAGAGTGGAGTAGACATCAACTCGTGGTATAGAATGCTGCTGCGATCGGCAAAGCCAGCTCTTCATGCGAACGTAAGGTGTACACCTCTAATATCCGCCATCGTTGGGAGGCAAGTTCACGTTGTCAAATATCTTCTGGAGGTATGCCATAACTATCACTTGTTAGAACAAAGTTCGTCGTTTTAATTTCTAAGAACTAATGCGTCCTATCGCTTCTTTACAGGCAGGAGCAAAAACTGGGTGTAAGGCATCGCTCGGAGCATGGTCATGGGAGCCTGGATCTCTGGAGGAAGTGCGAGTCGGTGCAGGCCTAGCAAGCCCATACAACGAGCTATGGTGTGCTGTTGAGTACTGGGAAGAAACAGGTGCAGTACTGGAGCTTCTTCTGAACTACTTCTCTCCAAACGACGATCATTTTGGGAGGACAATTCTCTGCCATGCAATTCTTTGCCGCAATGCACCAGCAGTGGAATTGCTATTCAAGTCCGGGGCCAACGTCGAGGACGGTATACACACAAAAGCCGACGAAGAGTTTCCTCCGCTACTTTTGGCGCTCAAGTATGGGTCGCTTCCGATACTACAGACGCTCATCTCACACGGATGTGATTTGAACGTAGTGGGAGCTAATGAGGAGACAGGTCTTATGCTAGCAGCGAGACTGGGACTCGAGCAGTGCTGCAAGGAGCTGCTGTTGGCCGGGGCAGATGCGGGGTTTATAAACACAGGCGGCAACAGTGCTCTTACAGTAGCAAAAGCAAATGGCAACGGTGCATCTTTCAACGACGTGATATGGAAGGCCCTCGAATCGGGATGCAGTATCCAGTCAAGCAACCTTCACGTGTTTTCGCAGCTTCATTTTGCCGCGAAGAGAGGAGACGTGAAAGTCATGTCGAGGCTTCTCAAGGAGCCGTATTTGGAAGTGAACGCTCAAGACCAATACGGCTACACTGCTCTGATGATAGCTGCTCAATCCGGTCACGTCGAAGTTTTCCGGCTGCTCGTGCATGCTGGAGCCGACATGAACTTGAAGAACAGGAAAGGAGAGACAGCCATATGTCTTGCAACGTACAGTGGCTGGCTGGAGCAACTGGAAAAAATCCTCCTGGATTCTATCCTCTGCGACCTGCTCAAGGTGGAGAACTTCAAGCCGCTCCACTTCGCATCATGGCGGGGAAACTTGGAAGGTGTGAGCAAGCTTCTCAAGCATGGATACGCCGTGAACTTGCTGGACGAGGAAGGCTACAGCCCGCTGATGCTAGCCGCGAAGGAAGGGCACGCAGAAGCTTGCAGAGTGCTTCTAAACGCGGGGGCCGATTGCAATCTCGCAAACGGCAGGGGAGAGACAGCTCTGACTCTGGCCCAGAGGGCTAGCTCAACGAAAGCGGCTGAAGAGGTCCTCCTCGATCACCTTGCGATGAAGCTTGTCCTGTTGGGAGGCCAGCTATCGAAGCACACTCGCCAAGGCAAGGGAACTCCTCACTTGAAGTCGGTTCGAATGCTGAGGACGGGCTTGCTTACGTGGGGTAACACAAGCAGGCGTACGGTGGCGTGTAAGGAAGCCGGACTGGGAGCTTCAAGCAGGTTTCAGAAGAACAGGAGGTCGTCCGACGATGGGCCTGGAACCTTCAGGGTGATCACCAGCACCGGGAGAGAGGTGCACTTTCAGGCATCGGGTGAGAGCAATGCAGATTTCTGGGTGCGAGGAATCAACGTCATCGTCAAGGAGGCTGCTAGAGCCGAAGGGAAGCTCGCGAAATGACAGCTCGAGCCCTTGGAGGTGATGGACGTGCGTTACTGGGATTGTAAATTATTTGTAGGAGAGCACCAGGAGCGGAAGAGGTACACCCCAAGTCCGATTTCAACTGGAGTTGATTTATAAGCTAACTTCTACTTCTGTCACCTTTTTAGTACCCAGACAGCTACGCTGCTGGAGAATTTTTTGCCTCTATTCAGATCTATTCACGCGCGAAGCGGCTCTCCCAAGAATTTGGACCAGCTCCTTGATCGCGTTTAAGGCCACCATAGCCGCTTGTGCAAAGGCTTAAAGAGTCCCAAGAAGATTTAGCATTGTGCCGGAAGTGGAATGTGGTGGCCTGGAACACGATCAGTCAGGCACTTGCCATGAACGGAGATTTACGAGGAACTCGAGACATGTTTGAGCGTATGCCAGTCAAGGACGTGATTTCCTGGGTGACGATGATTGAAGCTCAAAGCCGGTTTGATCAAGCAAGGGCCTTGCTTTGCTGGGTAAAATGCCGCAGCTTGCCGTTGTCACCTGGACCGCAATGATTGTTGCAAATGCCGAGAGCGGAGATTTGGAATCGACAAGAGATCTCTTCAATCATATGCCGCAGCGGGCTGTGGTGTCGTGGACTGCAATGGTGTCGGTGCTCAGCCCAAGCCAGAGATCTTATCAAGGCCCTGAAGCTTGCCATCACGAATCTCTAACTACATATGTCTTCCAGTGGTCTATACTATACATGTCTCCCACTAGAGAATATTGTATACGCTTGCAACCGAGTCCGTTTACGCAAGGTGACCTTGTTCTCGGTTGGAATCTTTGTGAACTCAGAGAGGATGGCTCTAAATTCATCCCCTCTTATGGTTTCTTTCTCAATTAAAAGTTTCAGGATTGTGACCATCCAAGATCGACACCCCACTCTAACCTTCTCGAGCATGGAGTTCTAGGCCATCATTACGTAAGATCACGCCACCACCAAACCCCTGGCCCAGGCTGATGCAATACAAAAGAACACCATTGCTTGCCATGTCCATAACTCTAGTTGGTCTATCAGTTCGGTGTGCAGTGTTTCAAGATTATCTCTGTCCATGTTTTCAACTGCTCCACCCCATCTCCTTCACCGTGCTAGAATCTCCAAACGGAGACGGCTAAATTCGAGGATGACAATTGTTAATTGTCCTGTATTTGTAAATTGCAAATTCTGCTAAAGCCAGGGCCAACATTTGGAGTAGTATGTCTGCTTTACCCCTCCACCTGTGGACTTTTGCCTGGCAACATTCAGATTGCGCATGCTAGTGACATTGCCGTGATTCTCTCCTCAACTCCAGTCTTTCCTTGGACTCGCAGTTTACTGTGTATCATAGATGCCGACGACAAACAGCTACAGCAATTTTCAACACGGCATATTTAATTCCATTGGTCTCATGCTTCTTGGAGGCCGTTACAAGGTAAATAGTATATGAATGAATGGATGATATTGCCTGCTTGGCAACAGATTGCATGTTGCATGACTCGGATCAAATAATGACAAAAAGAAAAGTTGGAAATTAAATTTTCTTGGCCCACAGATTGCCTCATCCTTTGATTCCAAAGGTACAATCACAAACCATCTTTCCCGCTGGAATGGGTACAACGCGTCCTTGTTGTTAGGTACGGCTATAGATTCTGCATCATCTCCATCCCCATTGCTGCAAGAAGGCTATAGCAACGAAGTTATCAATAACTACGTTATTGATATTCCATATCAATGGTTGCTGATCAATGCCCGAGTGGAATGTGGTGGCCTGGAACCACGATCATTCAAAGACTTGCCATGAACGGAGCTTTACGAGTGGCTCGAGAGATGTTTGTTCCTTGACGACGACTTCCACAGTTTCGGTTTGATCGAGATGGATAAAAAACGCAGCTCGACGTCGTGACCAGACATGTGCAGAGAGGTGGGATTCAAAGACATTTATAGTTATAAAATTTGCTTTGGCATCGGCCTTGATAAGCTTCAAGGAGCAAGATTTAAATTTTTTATGTTATTCAGAACTCCATGTTTTGAATCCAAGGCTGATGCAAGCATGAAATTGCTCACTGCTATAGTTGTAACAAGGGCTCATGACAAAGGACATGGCTAAGCGAGCTAAGCGAGCCAAGTCAACAGGGAGTCATGCTCTCCGAATTCGCAGAGATTCCAGCCGCAACGAACCATCTCTCACGATGGTATGGGGAATATAACTAGCCTACAACGCAATCAACTAAGAGCTATGGACTGCTCAGCATCTCCATCCCCAATAGTACTGCTGCGGGAAGGCTACAGCAACGAAGATATCAATGACTACGAGATCGATAGCCGCGAGGTGGAATGTGGCGCGGGAAGCTATGGCAGTGTGAGGCTAGGCGTATACAGGGGACAAGCAGTGGCAGTCAAGAGCTACAACCGAGGTGTTTCAGAGAGCAGCATCCGAAGAGAGGTCGAAGTGATGCGGTCACTCAAAGGTGAGTCCCGCGTCGTCCAGTTTCTCGGCCGCGTCCAAACGGGGCTGGATGATGATCGCTGCATTGTCATGGAGCTCGCTTACAACTTATCGCTCAGGGCGTTGCTGGATGCGAGCGGCCAAAGCTTGTCGGGCCGTCTCAAGGTGGTGATTGCCAGGGATTTGTGTGGCGGCCTTTGCAGCCTGCACGGTAGAGGCATTGCTCACGAGGATGTCAAGAGTGACAATGTGTTGCTTGACTTTGGGCTGAGGGCCAAGCTGTGTGACTTTGGCACCGCAAGACAGATGGGCGACAATGACTTTGGGGAGGTACTCGGCACACCGGCTTTCATGGCACCCGAGAAACGGGCTGCTCCTCCTGGCAGTATGTACCATCGCTTGGCCTCTGACATCTACAGCCTTGGCCTTGTGCTGCAAGAGCTCCTCGGCGACGTTGAAATCGTAATCCAGTGTTTGGCTTCCTGCCCACTCGAAAGGCCCAGCTGCGATGAGGTCCTTGATGCTCTTGACCATCTTTACTCCAGCGATGATCGTGATTTCGATAGCTTTAAAGGTCTGCTTGATCATGCCATTGGGGAGGCGGAGAGGGTCAACTTGGCGTGTTATTGGACCGACACTTTCCTTGAGAACGAAGAAGGCGACAACGCCGACCTCATCCGCCAGGGCAGGATGCTTTTCTATCAACAACGAAACGAGGAGGCATTTGACGTGTTTACCACGTCTGAAAGCGCAGTGGCCAAGCTCTTTCTGGGTATCATGAACTTCCATGGCTACGGATGCCAAAGAAACTGGGAGGCAGCATTGGAACTGTTCAAGGACTGCCTTGTGATGCTCGAAGACGAGATCGGTGTCAACATGTTGATGAGCGCCCTTGTGGACTACTACTTGGCAATGATACAAACCAGGATGGGAATTGGTGATGCAATACAGCATCTAGCAGAGCTTTCTAGCCGGGGTAACGCGTATGCTCAAGTGGAGTTTGCCAACGTATATAGTTTGCGGAGCGGAATGTTTAGCTCTTGTCTTGAGTTTGCTCCCACGGTCAATGGCAACCACAGGAACGTACTCGATCTTCTCTTGAAAGCAGCCAAGACGGGATATGCACACGCACAGGCACTTCTAGCACTCTTCTACATGGCCGTCAACCCGGGTTACCGCGAGCTTCCTGCCAAAGAGATGGAGTTTCTGGAGAGGAGCGTCGAGGGTGGGAGCCTCTTGGGGAGAATCCTCAGGAGTGTTGTCAAAGGCACGATTGACAAGGCAGGGCTCTTGGCTGAGTCGAGAAACGGCGCACTGCTTGAGTTCATTGGCGACTTGTACAAGCTGAGATGTGAGAACACGGATGCAATTGACTTCTACACTGCAGCCGCTAATTTAGAGAGGATGACTTCCGGCTGGGCCAGGTTGAGCTGCATGAAAGCTTTAATCCTCAATACAAGGATTCACCGGGAAGGGAAAGGACGTCTCGCGCTGAACTCTATTTGCATAAGGCTCAGAACTTTATTGAGCAAGAGGTTCAACTCGACTTCCGATGACGAGCTACTGCTGTTTTTTCGAATGAATCGTCACAAGTCGACAGTAGAGTATGATCTTATGGATGGTCTGCTCGAGCTGGGAGAAGAAGAAGTGGTAATGAGGATATTCAGGCAATCAAGAGATGTCAGCATCAAGGCTATGAACGCTCTCTTCAATATGTCGGCCAAATTCCATTCAGACGAGTGGCACCAGATACTCGCAGAGAAAAGGCAGTACATGGAGCCAAGTGTCGTCACAAAAATCGGTGCTCTCTATCGAAGGAGGCTCCAAGATGAACGCAAGGCAATGGAATGGTGGCGAGCTGCCGCCGAAGCGGGCGATGCCGAGGCCCTGAGCATGCAAGCGATGGAGTTCTCCCAGAATGGAGACAATGACATGGCAGTCCGCCTGTGGGAGCAGGGAGTTTCAGCTGGCAACGACACCGCAATGCTGCAGCTTGCCATTTGCGGGGGCGTGGGCAGGGAACGCAAGCTCCAGCTGCTGCAACGAGCCGTGGATCTCGGCAATTCGCTAGCCATGGTGGAGCTGGCGGGCATGCTGCGTTATCGAGGAGATTTGGCTGGGGCCGAGAAGCTACTGAAACAGGCTTTGCTCCATGGTGCAGAAAGAGCAGCGTCGATGCTTGCGTTCTTACTCGTGCAGAAGAAAGGTCAGTACACAAGCGAGGCCGAGTACTGGTTTCGGCGATCACTCTGGAGCTTGCATCCACAAGTGTGCTACCAAGCGGGTGCTGGTTACCAAGACAAAGACGGGGAGGAGCTGATCGAGCTTGTTTCCAAGTCTGCTGACAAGCTTGACGCTGAAAGCCTCTTTAACATGGGAATGCTAGTGGCCTCCAGAACCGGACTGAAGCAAGTGTCCATGCAAGCCTACAACTTTTTTGCCATGGCTGCCGAGAAGAAACGCCACCGCCAATCTGCTGCGGTCTGCTTCCGCTACTGCTACGCCCTGGGTGACACCCAAGGGGTCGAAAAGTGGAGGAAGTTCCTTGGGGACAAAGATCTTGAACGAGATGTTGAGATGGCCAGAAGTTGGAAGGAGTCACTGGAGAAGGAAAAACACTAGGGATAAAGTGTGAGCTGAACAGTGCCTTCATGGATCCTTTCAGTGTTGTGGCGGGTGTTGTTGGCCTAGTCGCCTCCATCGATAGCATCATTAACCTCTTGAATCGTGTGAAGGGTTTGTTGGAGAGACTCGACCAGGAAGACTACGCTCGGATGGTGCTTGCTGTGGAGATCTACAAGGAGCTCCGGTCAGTGGCTGAAACCCAAAAGGGGATCTCTGACGAGCAAAAACAAGGTTTGTTGCTCTGCAACCAGCGCATTTACAATCGGCTGTGTAAGCTCCAAAAGGTGCTCGACGAATCCATGTTTGTAGCAAAGAGGGTCCGCGAGCAGCTAGACAAGATCGAGAAATTGGTCAACATTGTACACATATTGGTCAGCTTGTCCAAGCAAGCACAGGGCGGCATTGTTGATATTGGTAACAATGAGGACAAAGATAGAGATGGCATGAGTAACTCCAGGAAAGTTATCTCGAAGATCATGGATCCCAGGAATCTCAAGCCCATCAGAAAACAAGATCTCATCAGCAGCAATGTCTACTCCCGAAGCATGGCGGGCCTTCCCAGTTATAATCCGCAGGACCAAGACCGGCTCCTTGAGGCAGATGATGGGTCTGTGTTTTTCGTTGAAACCATTCCCGTTGGCACGACGCCCAAGGTCAAAGCTTGCAGGCTGAATCGAATTGGAAGGCTGATCCTCGTCTACCAGGACATACCAGCAAGTGAGCTAGGCCTGGTGAAGATGGAGAAGATGATCGAACAGGATGGAAGCTATCATATTATGAGCCGGGTGGAAGGATGCCACTCCAAGTCCGCAGTCACCACCCTGGAATTCCAGATTGCTAACAGTTTTCAGCAACTGGGAGGACTAGATCCCGGTGCCACCAACAGTGTGCTTCTGAGCCTGGCAGCAGCAGTAGCCGATCTTCACAGGTGCCACATTGTGCACGAGAGCATCAGCTCCAACAACATTCTCATCGTCGCCCAGCAGCAAGCCGCAAGCTTGCAAGTCAAGCTCGCGGGGTTCCTCCTAGCGCGCCTCGCAGATCCCCTGGAAATGAGCGAGAGGGAGAGGTCGGGGAATGATCCACACTACGAGCTCCGCAAGAGGATTTACCAGGCCCCGGAGCGCATTGCTGGTGGCCGCTACAGCTTTGAGTGTGACATCTACTCGATGGGGGTGGTGATGGCGGAGCTCAAGCTCGGGAAGTCCTTTCTCTTGTCCAACACCGAAGTCTTTGGCAGTGATCCGGCAGTGTCTCATCGGGAAAGCATACTCAGCCTTCTCAGCTCTTACACTGACGATGTCGCTGCCTGTATCCGAGAATGCATGGACAACGATGCTAGCAACAGGCCATTTGCCCAGGAAGTCTACGACAGGCTAATTTAACATCTCTACCATATGGAAGGTTAGAATTTGCAAACTATGTGATGAGCTTTGATGTTTCAGTGCTAGGTGTTTGTAGTTTTCATGAGGAAAAAAGTTATTATCACCAGTAATCCCCACAGGAACAAGAACACTGTCTAAACCAATGAAATCTGGAGCTGTCCCGCACGACAATGTCACGAGCGGCCACCTTCGATATCGTCGCAAAGAAAGAGTGGCACTCACGGCACATCCTCTTGTTCTTAAACACCACCACCGGCGTCTCATTCTCCTGGAACCGCGAGTTCATCAGGCCAACGACAAGAGCCAGCTTCTCGCTGTGAACCGAGTTTTCATCCTCCTCATCGACGTCGTGCATGGTCAAGTCGTTGTTGCTCGTCCCGGCAGCCTCCCAGGCCGGATAATCAGCCTCGAGCTTCTGGAGAGCAGCGTATATCTCCTCGGTTTGGGGATGAGTTTGATCTCCAGTGGTGAAGCTGTGAATGACACCACTGATCTGGATCCAGCTCCGGGCTAGCTCCGAGCTTACATCTCGCTCCTTCATCAGCAGCTTTACCTTTCGAGCGATGGCCGGTTTCGCAGTGCTCTCGTAGATTCTCGCCAGCACCACGTATACCTCCGCGATGGTTGGATCCAAAGTAAAGATCTGAACAGCGGCTCGTTTTCCTCGCTCGACATCACCTTGGATCCCACAAGCCGCTAGCAAGCTCCTCCAGAGAACGGGGCTGGATTGATATGGAGTTCTGGTGATAAGTTTTTGAGCTCCATCTAGGTTTCCAGCTCGTCCCAGAAGATCGACCATGCAGGCGTAGTTCTCCAGGCTAGGAGATAGCAAGTGGTCAGTGATCATCAAGGCGAAGAAAGCATAGCCAGCTTCGATGAGACCAACGTAGCAGCAGACGAATAGCAGCCTCGAGAAGGTGGTTTGATCCGGCTTCACTCCCTCTTGCTGCATCAGCTGGAAGAGCTGGAGCACCGAGTGCCCCTGCCCGTGAGCCGCGAACGCGTCGATGCAAGTGTTCCAGAGCCTGAGCTCCCGCTTGCCGGTGACACCCTCAAAGACGCTCCACGCCTCCCCGAGCTCTCCACACTTGGCATACATGCTGACGAGGGACCTCGCCAGAGTTCCAGCGATGGGGAGCTTCTCGACCTCGACGACTCGCCGGTGGATGACTCTCCCCTCGACGAGAGCTCCCAGCCCGGCGCAGGCGTCGAGCACCGCGGCGAAGGTGGCGAAGTTGGCCGTCAAGCGCCTGTGCTGCATCTCGTGGAAGACTTGGATCACCCGGCTGTGGTATCCGTGGCGAGCGTACGCGACGAGTAAGCTCGTCCAGCACGGGGCCTCCTCGAGACCGAAAGTGAAGAGGAGCTGCTCCGCCACCTCGAGCTCACCAAGCTGTCCGTAGCAGTCGATGAGCGCCGAGGCCACATCGGGATCGCCCTCCATCTTCCTCGAGGAGATCTCGGCGTGGAGAGCTCTCACCTCCGAGACAAGCTCGCAGGCCTTGAGCGCCGCCCAGTAGTCCACACCCTCCGGAGCAACGCCCTCGTCCTTCATCGCCTGGAAGAGTGTCAATGCCTCCTTCTTCTCGCCGCTGAGAATGGCGCTCCAGATCATCGCGTTCCAGGCAGCGGCGTCGCGGCCCTCCATCCTGGAGAAGACGGCCTTGCTCTCCTCGAGCCGCCCGCATCGCCCATACCAGACCAGGAGCGAAGTTCCCAGGAGCAAATCTCTGGCGTACCCGGACGAGCAGACGATCGCGTCGAGGAGCTTGGCTTCTTCCAGGCCGAGCGGAGGCTCCTGGTGGAGGAGGAGCTGCGAGAGGAGGACTAGATCCGGCCGGGTGCCCGCGAGGAGCATCCAGCGAAAGCAGCGAAATGCTTCGCCAAGATGCCCGGTGTGGGCATACGCCTTGACGAGCTCGGTCCAGGAGACCACGCCCGGGTGAGCGATGCCATCGAATGCGCGCTGCGCGTCCTCAAGGCTGCCACACTGCGCGTACATCCGGATGAGGTACTTGGAGAAGAGCTTGGCGCTGGAGACGCCCTTCTCGAGGATGGAGGCGTGGAGACGCTTTGCCTGGTCGAGAGATCCCAGCTCGCAGCACTGGCGGACGAGGTCCAGCGCTTCCTGTTCGCTGCTCGACTGGAGATCCGGAAGGAGGGTGGGTTCGCTGTGCTGAGACCGGAGTGCCGGAGATCGAGAAGCCAAGATCGTGGAGAAAAGATCGAGAGGAGGCTTCTTACCGAGGAGGACGAACTGCTTGCGCAGTGCATTCCTCAACATCCGCCCTCATGGATTGCTCGTGAGATGGAAGCGGGAGATCTATCGAAACAGCCAGCCATCCATCTTTCTTCCTTGAAAACTTTGCTTTCTTCTTCTTTACAGGACTTTGGTGACCCAACCTCTCTCAAACTCCACATTTCTTCTACCTCGAAAACACTTTGCCACCTTTTAAGAACCTTCTTCCTCGAAAACACTTTGCCACCTCTTAAGAACAAACTCCGCATTCCTTCTTCCTCGAAAAACTTCGCGACTAGCTACCAATCCACAAGACAAAAGGTGCCGAGCTTGTTGGATTGAGCTTGTGCGCGTTTCCAGCCACCTCCGCGGCTTTGATCCGGTTCTTCTTGCAAGAACCCAGCAGCGTCGTCCACGCCACAGCATCCGGAAGAAATGGCATGGTGGCGACGAGCTCCCTGGCCTCCTCCACTCGCCCAGCGCGCCCCAGCACGTCCACCACCGAGTCGTAGTGATCCAACATCGCCGCAACATCGTGATCTAGTGCCATGGACACAAAAAGATCCCGCGCGCTTTCAACATGGCCAATGTGACTGCAAGCCGCGAGAACCGCACTGAAGTTCAGCTCATCCGCCGGAATCCCTCCAGCAGCATCGCCCGAAAGGATTCCAAAGCCGCGCAGCTGTGCCCGTTCTGGGCATTCGCCTGGATGGCCGTGTTCCAAGACACGGTGTCGTGCTCGGGCATCCTGGCCAAGAGCTTCCGAAAGTCCAGCATATGCCCCCGCTGGGCATAGGCCTGTACGACCGCGTTCCAGGCAGCTGTACACTTGACGGGCATTTTCTCAAACACGCTCCTGGCGGCGAGCACGTCGCCACTGTCGCCGTACGCCGCCACCATCACCGTACACACCACAGTGTCCTGTAAGGGCATGGAATCAAACATGGTCTTTGAGTGCTCAAGATGCCCTGCCTGGGCATATGCTGCTGTGAGCGCTGTCCACGCGATGGCATCTTTCTCGTGCATGGTGTCGAAGATACTTCGAGCTTCGTCGAGGCGGCCATGGCTGGCGTAGGCTGCGATCATGGCGGTGCACACTACGGCATCTCTCTGCGGCATCTCATCGAAGAGTTCTATGGCGTCCTGGAGCTTGCCTCTTGCCGCTTGGGCTTGGAGGAGCGCCGTCCAGGCGACGAGATCCCACTCTGGCGCCGCGTCAAACAGCCCCTTCGCCTCTTTCAGATCTTCCTGCTGCGAGTAGCCCACGATCATCACATTGAAAGAGATGGAGTTCCGCTGTGGCATCGAGTCGAAGAGCTTCCTGGCCTCGATGAGCTCTCCGGCTTGGGCGAGCGCCGACATCATCGCAGTCCATGACACCACATTCCGCTGCGGCATTCGATTGAAGAGATCTCTTGCGGATAACAAATCCCCACTCTCGGCATTTGCGACGATCATCGCAGTCCAGGTGACTACGTCGAGCTGCGGTATTTGACCCAGCAAAACTCTTGCTTGGTCGAAACGGCAGTGCTGGAAGTAAGCTTCAGTCATCGTAGTCCAGGAAATGACGTCCTTGAATGGCATGCGATCGAACATCTCTCGAGCCCCTCGTAGATCCCCGTTCATGGCAAGTGCCTGAATGATCGTGTTCCAGGCCACCACATTCCACTCCGGCATTGATTCAAACAAAGCCAAAGCTTCTTGAACTCTTTTAGCTTCCGCACAAGCGGCTATGGTGGCCGTCAATGCGATCACGCTTGGCCGCGGCATTCTTTCTATCAGCAATCTTGCCTCACGCAAATGCCCGTTTTGGGCATACGCTACGACCAACATATTCCAGGAGAAATCATTAGGGAGGCTAATGCGATCAAAAACACCCTTTGCCTCGTCCACACTCCCACATTTGCCATACATAGCCACGACCAGATTTGCAAGGTAGCGGCTTTGTGAGTGAGCACTCCTCGCAATTCTCTCATGGACTCTTCGAGCTTCCAACAAGATTCCAGCATTGCCACACGCCCGGACGATCTGTGCATAGTATTCAATGTTGCAGCATCCATCCTCGTACCCCATGACATGGTAGTTTAGTGCTTGGGTGTTTAATATGCTAAAATATCCAATAAGGTTTATACATTATAGTTCAAACATGATTGTCATTGCGGCTTTATGGATATGATTGGCGTTGATTGGCCAAAGCTTCACAAATCTAGAGATTCATTAAGCATCCTTGAGGTTGGGCTACCAATATATGAAGTTTCTGTGTTTTGGAAGATTTTGAATGTTTCCAAGCCTCTCAAACATGACACTGAAGGATATGAGATTCAAAACTGGACTTCCTGTGTTCCCTTCATTTCCAAGCCTCATAAGACTAGCCCTGAGTCATCTCTGGAATTTCAGTTGTGAGAATATGCAACATAATGTGAGCTTCTCCAAAGCTAGAAGTACTTTATAGTTATTGATGGCCGCAGTGGCTGGCAGCATCTGAAAGAGATAGTTTTTCATCAACAAGAAGGCGTTGCTGTGAAAGTTATAGGTTGTAACAGGCTTGAGAAGATGAGCTTCTCACGGTTGAATGCGTTTGATCCCACTGAGATTTTGAATGGGTTTCCAAACCTCTCAAGCATGAGACTGATAGATATAACATTCAAAACTGGACTTTGAGTCCTTCGTTTCTAAGTCTCACGAGAATGACCTTGATTCATCTGTCGAATTTACTCGAACATTAGTGCGAGCTTCTCCGAAGCTGGAAGTTGGCCCGCAGCATCTGCTATGTAAGTTATAGGTTGTAACAGGCTTGAGAAGTTGAGCTTGTCATGGTTGAACACTTTTGATCACACGAACTCATGCTTCTCTTTCATACAGGAGCACAGACTATGAAAGGTTAACAGCTTGACTAATGATGAACTCTCTAGTTTTTTATCCAGTTGTCGGCTGCTCAAGGTTCTTGGTCTTGCCGAGGGTGAGACTTTGAAATCGCCAGTGGTAATCAGGTCTTCCTCACTCACAAGTTTAACTTATCACCGGCACCATGCGTTTGACAGAGATCAAGAGGACGAGTTGCTGTCAACACCACATATATTGCAGCTCAATTGCAATGGCTTGTGTGAGCTGGAAGTCTAGGGAGATTGTATTGTCGATGAAGGCTCTAGACTCGTAAAGGTATCAAACTCTGCATCGTGAACTTTCAAGCTCAGTTGCAAAGTTGTGGGGAAGGAAGACTCGTATTTATTCTCCACGCGTAAGATCGGAACTCTGATACAAAAGATTCTGTAACTCCTAAAGCCTCCTAAAGCCAGCTGATGTAAACACTGATGGTGTAATTTTTTGAAATATATTTAAGCGATGGTTGTCTGAAATAAAAACTGAGAATGTAAGTAACACTGTTAGTTATTCGATCCAATAAGTAGAAACATAAATCCGATGACGATGGAAAGTTTGTTGTTTAGTTTCCTTTCCTGCAATGCAACCTTGAAGAATGACCTTATGAGCATGGCTCCAATCCTCGTGCCACACCAAGTGCATCTCATCACTTGGCTGGATGTAATGGTGTCCCTGATTGAGAGCCTGGCGGTGCCAAAGTCACACATCTTGGCCCTCATCCCGAAGTTCAGAGCGTCACTCTTGACATCCTCGTGAGCGATGCCTCTGCCATGCAGACTAAAAAGACTGCCACACAAATCCCTGGCAATCACCACGCCCTACGAGCTCAGCAACTCACCTTTGAGTGACCGCATCACTTCGATTTCTCTTCGGATGCTGCTCTCTGAAACCTGTACACGCCTAGCCTCACACTGCCATAGCTTCCCGCACCACATTGGATCCACCTCGCGGCTTGCGATCGCGTAGTCATTCGTTGCCCATGGGAATGATGACCATGCTCCATAGTCCAAGATACTTTATCCCGCTGGCTTTCCTGTGTTTAACCAGGACGCTATAACGCCTGGTGATCCCGGACAAAGTGTATAAGATTGCACTCGGCCACATTAGTAACAATTGTGCTGCTGTCGACAAGATCATGGAGGTTTTACTTGACAGTTCAGAGCCATCCTCCGAGTTCACAGAAGCCAAGAACTGGAGTGTGAAATCAAAAGTTAAGTCTTGCTCTTTCAAAGCCTATGTAATATTCTTTGGTGGGAGACATTTACAGAGATGTGGGATTCCCGTGGCATCGAGTCGAATAGCTTCCTCCATTGTAGTCCAGGACACCACATCACGCTGCGGCATTCCATCGAAGAGATCTCTTGTGCATTTGCGACGATCATCGCAGTCCAGGCCACGACGCGGTCGAGCTGCGGTATCTGATCTAGCAAAACTCTTCCTTGATCAAACCGGCTTTGCTGGAAATAAGCTTCGGTCATCATTGTCCAGAAATTACGTGCATACGATCAAATATCTTTTCCAGCCCCTTTGGACGCGGCCGAGGAACGCGGAACTCACTTTTCAGTGAGCGCATCACTTCGATCTCTCTTT